AAAAGGATTTTGTAAGTTAACGAACTAATAGAGAATAAATATTAACTAAATTTTTCTCTCCTTATTACAATAACATTTGATTCATCAAATTTAATTTGTCTAAATGATGCCAACAATTAAATTCAATCACACATTTAAATTATTTGGATGTAGAAATTATTACAAGCTTAATGAACATTATAATAGTTAGTAATTTAGATGTCATTGTGTTGGATACCGCAATAAGTAGTAATAGCATATTCAGTTTAGAAGTAAAAAACAAGGAAATTAATCTAAGTTTAAATGATTAATCCTGTTTCGTTGATATTAAAGTCTTAGTTATACCCAAAAAATTATTTATTTGTAAAGCTTTTGGACTCACGTGGTCATTGAAGCTTTTTCTGCCATTATATTGATAGGATCATCTCTAAAAAAACAAAAAGGCATCGACTTAATTTTAAACAATAATATATTTAATGAAAATGGAATTTTAAAAATTAGGATTAACTTTTTGATTCAAAAATCTTGGCTACATTACCTTGACAATTGAATGGGGAAATTTCTCATCAAGAATCTTGAATTTGATAATTAATCAAAATTATAATCAGAATATTCTAAATCAAATAGCACTTATGTCATTAAAAACAAACCTTTTAAAAATTAATCTTATATAACTATTTGAGTCATAAAATATTTAATGCTTGTCAGTTTAGATAAAATATTGTTACAAATCCCTCTTATAGATCATAACGAAACAAAATTATTTTCATAATCGATACATTATGCTCTCTTGAATAATGATAAGTTTAGAAAAGTACTATTTAAAATTCTCTAGAAAAGATACTTCTTACTCATAGATAAATTATTAATCTCATATTCATTAATAATCACTGTAAATTAAATAAATTCCTTTAATTCTTAGAGGTTATAAATCTAAAAATTGAAATTGAAATGACTTATGCAAAAATACTAATTATTTTTAGTTTTTAACCAAGTGAAGATGAATCAAGTATATGATTTTAAATACATAATCAGAATAAATGTAAATAATTAATAAATAATGGATTAATAATACCATACCTGAAAAAGAGATTATTAGGTTTGAAATTTCGTTGAAGAAGTGAATTTGTTGAATTGTTTTTAAGTAAATTAATATTTAATGTGAAGTAATTTAATAGAATTAGGATAATAGAAATACGAGGTTAAGAATGATTATACATTTAATATAAAATATAAAAATGATTTAATAAGCAAGTTTGAAGTTAAAATGTTAAGAAGATAACCATAAGGAAGAGATTGATTTTATTTGTTATCATGAATTTTGTACAGGATTTTGATTAAATTGTTTTGATTGTTTTAAAAAGGGAATTCATCATACTCATTCTGATGATGTTAAAAAAGTTAACAGTTTGATTCCATTTATTGAAAGTAACAATAAAGAGTGTGACAATTTGATTGATGATCTTAACAAATGTGTAGAAACTCTGAATCAATCATTCTCTTAGTTAACTAAAGGAATTAGAAATAAATATTCATTAGTTAAAGAAAGGCTTGTGAATATGAATTCTTACTAAATTAATGATTATTTGAATTCAACTATTAAATTAATGGAATATAAATAATCAATTTCAAAAATCATTTAGGAATAGATAAAGAAATTAAATCATGCATTTAATAATTTATATGAATAATTGTAATTATCATCATTTAATTATTATTAAATTGATGAAAATAATATTTAACGAGCTGAAGATCTATGCAATTAAGGTAACATAAACATTTAATTCTTTAGGTAAGAAATTATATTCGGATTTGAATTATAATGAGGCTTTAACATATTTCGATAAGTCAATTGTAATAAATCCTAGTAATTAGGAATCTTTACTTTATAAAGGTTTTAATAAGAGTATAATTATAATAGGGAGTTGTTTAAGGATGTTAAATAAATACGAGGATGCAATCACTTGGTTGGACAAAGCATTAGCTATTGATCCAAAACATGTTGTTTCCTTATGTATTAAAGGTAGATTTGATCATCCTTACATTAATAGGTGATTGTTTAAGATTATTGAAGTAATTTGATAAATCTGAAAAAATTCTCCATTAAGCTATTTAGCTCAATCCTAACCACACAGTTAGTCTTGATAGTCTTGGTATGTGTTGATTTTATATTCAGGAATCTGCTTACAAGATTAGTAGAAATACTAAGAAGCTCTGATTTATTATGAAAGAAGTTTAAAAGTTTAATCAAATAATTAATGGACCAAAAATCAAAAGGGTACTTATATCTTGTCAATTTAGAATTTTGTGAACAGAAATTGATAAAGTGAATAATCCAATTTTTGAATATAAATAAACTTTCTATCTTTCGATTTAATTATATAATGATGAAATATGTATATAACAAGAGACAATTAATGTAAAAGTAAAAATGCTTTCATGTGGTTCAATAAATTAGATTATTATCTCTATTCAGTTTTTGTTATATTATGTTATTGATTCTTTTTAAGGGATTAAGTTTTTGGCTTAGTCCTTGAGAATATTTACTAAAAATCAAATAAATGATTTTTCATCATTATGTTCGATAGCCATAACATGTTGACAAGAGAACCTATAATACTACCATTATTAAATAAAGGCATCCTTGAAAGGTTAGATAAAACAGCTTAAATCATTATTAGTCAGGAAATCTTAGTAAGTAACTTCTGATAAGTTCTTAAATTCGTAATTGCAAAGCAGACTATTTAATATTAACGTTGCTTTTTTTCCATTATTAGGCTGGGGATATTGAATTGCAGCTCTTGCATAGAAAATTATCTATCTATGATTACCTTGAAGAACTCTGATTGTTATAATATATGTAGCTTCCTTTTCGTTTGAATTTTTATTTGTTGCTCCCTATTAATTTCTGATTTAATCTTNATTAATAGGTGATTGTTTAAGATTATTGAAGTAATTTGATAAATCTGAAAAAATTCTCCATTAAGCTATTTAGCTCAATCCTAACCACACATTTAGTCTTGATAGTCTTGGTATGTGTTGATTTTATATTTCAGGAATCTGCTTACAAGATTAGTAGAAATACTAAGAAGCTCTAATATATTATGAAAGAAGTTTAAAGGTCTAATCAAATAACACATGGACCAAAAATCAAAAGGGTACTTGTATTTTGTCAATCTAGAATTTTGTGAACAGAAATTGAAAAAATGAATAATCCAATTTTTAAATATAAATATTCTTTCTATCTTTCGATTTAATTATATATTCTCCATAATTAAATTTATATCCTGTGAATTCCAAATTATATTATTATTATTTCAAAAATTAACTCTCTTCCTCACAATTCTTTCATTACCAAATACATTCCAAGTTTACATCATTATCTAAATTTTTTCACAAAAAATAGTATTGCATTTGATAGTAAAAATTACATAGTTCATATTTTGTAGCAACATTTTCAAAAAAAAACAAATAGTAATCGAAACAATTAATCCAATTAAGTTTATACTATTTATATTCTAACCTAATAGAAATTCAAAATCTTATCTATAAAAATAATATTGTGAACCTTCATATGATTTCTTGAGAAAATTCTTGCTAAAGATTGTGGATACCGCCTAGATTCCTATTTAAGGATTGTTAGACTAAATAACTGCTTGATGTTAAGTTAAAAATACAAAACAATTCTAAATTGCTATGATCATGCTTTCTTATAGGAATTAACCAAGAACAACGCAATAAATCTTTATTTAATTAGGAAACTATTTATTAATCTACAAGTAACCATAAAGTTGAAATAGTATCTTTCAGAATTGACCCAATTTTTAATTGAGGTTCACAAATTTTAATTGATTTTGCACTAAAATTTAACCGTTATTTAAGTAGCATTACAAAATTTGCTCTACACACAATTGCCTCACTTAGATTTATTCTGATGGAGATGTCTTAAGTAGAGGCATGTGGAACTCAGAATTCTAATTATATTGCTCAAACTAGGACATCATACTAAACTAGCATTCAAATTATTAATAATAAATTAAATTAATTAATTTTTATCATATATCAAGCATATTTCAAAGGATTCTTAAGCTAGTTTTTAATAATATTTTTCAATGATTTGCTTATCAAAAGTAGAAAATTTAAACATTACAAAACAAACAGCATCATCTTGGATGAATACCGAGGGCTCACATGTAATGGTGCAAGCATTGTTCATTGGTCAACGGTCATAGCTACTTTGAATAGATTATAATATTGATATTTATCTTACTTTTAAGATTTCATAAACAAACATCAAATCTTTAGACGTAAGGCAAGCACTTTGAAGTGTTCTTTATAAATTAGCTCTACATTCAGAGGCCGGGCGGCCAAAGCTTTTTTCACTATAAGAAAGAGACCTTGAAGCAATTAAAGATTTTAAATTATTCTATCCCTTCAAGTCTTAAGAATAAAGATCCAAATCACTTCCGATAGATATAGACCTTTGTTATAATAACCCTATTATCAATTCAATTCCTCGTTTTTTTAATTATATCTTNTCTTTTCCTTTGCCTTATTATTCATAATGTAGAAACGATGAATTCTTTTGCTAAATACACCCATACATAATTGGATGAACTAAAATAGAAATCGGTTATAAGAGGTGAGTACAAGGATGTTGCTCAAGAATCAGCAGGAGCCATTGTTTTTAATAGTAGAACCGTTGGATATGTTGGAGGCTAAAAGAATAGTAGTCCATTGAGAGACGCAATTTATTATATAATATCTGGAGGGTATTGCTATGCTGGAATCTCTTAATTCATTATAATAGACTTGCTCCAGACCTACGAACTCAATACCATTAAAATTTGGTTATATGATAGAGATCCTACATTTATACGAACTTATGATGTGTAGGTGTTTGTATCAAGATCGGATGCAGATGACTAATTGATTTATGAGAGTAACATTTCCAAGAGCCTCACAACCATAAAGATTCCAGACGCCCCGATAAAATAAATAAAGATTAAGAATAGAGGTGGAAGCGCAATAGATTAGTGGTTAATCCTATTAAAAATTTAAGCATTTTATGCTTTTTGAAGGAGATTACGTAATAAATTTAGAAATTATTTGTATCAATTCAATTATGAAACTTAATTATAATAAAATAATCTAATCTAACCTAGATTGAAACATTCATTTAGGTACCTTTGATATTTCCACAATATTAAAATCTTGAAAAATGTGAATCAATTATGTTATTAGTAAAATTACTATTTTCTTCATTTAACCTCTCTAATATTACATAACATCTAAATTTTCTATAATTTCCTAATACTAACCATAGATTGAAAAAAAACACAAAAAAAAATATTAATCATAATATTTGTGATTAAGTAGTATTTGCTAAGAAATAAATGCTAGAAATATTTATTTGATTATGAATTCAATGACAGCCTTAATAGAAAATGCATATATTTATTTATATTGTACAACAGAAATTAATCATTCCTTTTTCTCTTCTGCTCTAATTTTACCTTTTCCATTTGTTAATCTAACGTTAAGTTCAGCAGCTCTTCTAACGAGAGTAGCTCTTTTTCTAGCTGAAAGGTTGTGTGCTAATTCACCTACAAAACTTCTATTATTTGTTAGCAATAATTCAAGATCTTTTTCATTGGTAATTAACAATTTTCTGAAACCAGTTTAATCCAAGTATCTAAAATGTCATTTGATTTCACAATACCTTGTCTTTTTATCACCTCTATAACCGGCTTTTGGCATAGGTCTATTTCCTCTGAATCTTCTTCTGACTCTGTTATCAATACCTCTTGGTCTTCTCCAGCTTGGTCTTAATTTGTGAGGATAGTCTTCTGATTCAAATCTAACAAATCTCTTTGTTCTCTTGTGAACAATTCTTTTATGAGCAAGTGACTTGACAACCATATTTTAATTAAAAATAAAAGATTTTAATTCAAAAATTCTTCATCATTTTCAAGTATATATTTCTTAATAATATATTGTTTTTACAGTTCCATTGATACTTTAACTATAAGAAAAATCATTTCTTTAAAGTCCTTACATTTATTGATAAAATTTTGACACAATATCATATCAATGTAATTTAGTGTTAATGAAAATATATAAAAACTTAATAATGCATAAATCTTCAATGAATATTATATATAATGAATAATAATTCAAATTTAAATATCACTTTATTCCTTGGTTTCCCTCCAAAATTTAAAATAATACTCAGCATGATGATTGTAACTTTGATTAGGATTAGATTTAGTACAGAAGAAATAAACATATTTAAATGTCCACTGTTTAAACAGTGGTTATAATCATTAAATTAAATTGAAATCATACTATTTCATAGAGTTATGCTTTATTAACTATAAAATCTTGATCTTCTGAATTTCTTTTTCTTTATTGTTTTCCTTTTAATTTTGGGAGTATTATTTTCATCATTTGCAGTCAATTGGTAAATTTTAGTACTAATCCTCCTTATTATCTAACACTATTTGATTTAAATACATTTTTTGTATTTTCAGATAAGTTTGATGTATCTTTTGAGTAAAAATTTCTAATTGCCTCATACAATTCATATTTTTGAAAGTAGAGAAATTCAGAATCAAGAGTTACAAACAAAACCAAGTCAATTTAGACGGCTTCACCATCATAATAATCAGTTATAGTGGTAATATTTGCGTCATACTCAATAAGAGATAGAAGACTCATTTCCATATCTGTTATTTCTTTAGAACTATATTTAGATTGACATTAGTTAACACAGTCTTGAATATTCATCTGAATTTTGTTCTGGCATTCATTAAACTAAAGAAATATATATATATTCTTACTTTTACTGCAATCATTAATGAAACTATTCCTATCAGATAAACTCTATCGGAATCGATAAGTTATTTTGAAAGATATAATTTACTTAAAATGGCAGCTAATTCGATTGTTTTAATTTCCAAATTATTTTACTCGCCAACCTAATATTAAACCAAATAACAAACCTAAAAGATCCAATGGATGAGCATCTCCATCAGCTCAAGCATTTGATCAGGTATAATTTCTGCCAATTTTATATCTCTCTTCTGAAGATAGTTATAGCGATCCAAATCCATGAATTTTTATAAAATATTATAATTTGAAAAATTAAAGAAAAAGAAATCTTGTAGTGCGAATTATTGATTTATTTTATAGCCATTCAAGAGACTACATCTTCCCATAAGAATTTTATTAAAAAATACTATTTAATATCGATATAATATCAGAATTACAATAGTTATTCATACATTAAATAAGATAAAGATTATGTATTGATGCTATAATTTATATTATTAATGTAGAAATTTTTAATTTTGAAAAAAGAGTAAATCCCATTATAATAAACAAACCTGTTGTTCTTTTAAGTAATTTTAGAATAGTATTAATGTTATTTTGTCATCAGAAGAATCGTCATATAAATCCTTATACATTAGTAGAAAAAATTATATACATTGAATAAATAATATTATGGCATAATTATTCTCTTTGTGTAATATATTAATTCATCAAAATGCATAGAATGCCTGAATCTTAATTACCTACAAGGGCTAAGTTCCTGAAATATCAGTGATTAAAAATGATTTCACTAAAGAATCGTTAAATGTTACTCTATAAATTCCACCAACTGCTGAAGAATTAGTGTAAACAACTTCTTCGCTGTCATCAGGGTAAACTAGTGTTACTTTAAACTTATAAGTAATTACTGTAAGGTCATAAAACCAGATTACAATAGTATTAATTTCGTATTCTTACAATAAGTCAAGCCTTATCATTCCTAGCGGTGCTAAAACGTAACCTTTGCTACCGGCAGCAATATCATAGATGGCATCTCTTAATGGACTGTTATTAAATTGATCTCCATAAAATGTTAACAGTCTAGCATTTGAAATCAAAGCTCCACTTCTTTCATTTACAACATCCTAGTAATCTCCTCGAATTTGTGATCTTTCAATCAAAATCATCAAATCTTAATCAGAGTAGGTTGTGGCGGAGTTGGTGATAACAAATAATAGATAAATAATCAAGATAATTTTTTGCATAATTAATTATTAATATCTAAAATTCATACATAAAGCCTTTGAATATAAATTTCATTGATCCAAATCAAATTCAAGTAATATAAATAAATTTGATAATTACTCCTACATATATTATTAATTAATATCTGGAATCAAACTCTCATAAGTAGGTCCATATTGTTGAAATATTTCATCTACATTAAATTGTTCTCTTAATCCTCTAAAAATTTGGTATACCTTTAAGAATGAATCAGTTCCGAAAGCCTATTCCAAATTCATTCTTATTTTTTCTGCCCTTTCAAAACTTAATTTGATAATTGGTTTCTATGCAATTTATGTGTCTTAGGGAACACATTTGAGGCTTTCTTATTTTTTGGAGATCTACTTTTCTACCTTTTAATTTGACAAATCTTAATTTAATGAGTTTTCAGAAGTTTGTCTTTCTAATTGTGTTTCATTATTATTATTGTTAGTCACTATATCTAGAGATTAACTCTGTTAAGGTAGTTATTATTATTATTATTATTATTATTGTTATTATTATTATTATTATTATTATTNCCTAAAAGATCCAATGGATGAGCATCTCCATCAGCTCAAGCATTTGATCAGGTATAATTTCTGCCAATTTTATATCTCTCTTCTGAAGATAGTTATAGCGATCCAAATCCATGAATTTTTATAAAATATTATAATTTGAAAAATTAAAGAAAAAGAAATCTTGTAGTGCGAATTATTGATTTATTTTATAGCCATTCAAGAGACTACATCTTCCCATAAGAATTTTATTAAAAAATATTATTTAATGTCGATATAATATCAGAATTACAATAGTTATTCATACATTAAATAAGATAAAGATTATGTATTGATGCTATAATTTATATTATTAATGTAGAAATTTTTAATTTTGAAAAAAGAGTAAATCCCATTATAATAAACAAACCTGTTGTTCTTTTAAGTAATTTTAGAATAATATTAATGTTATTATGTCATCAGAAGAATCGTCATATAAATCTTTATACATTAGTAGAAAAATTATATAAATTGAATAAATAATATTATGGCATAATTATTCTCTTTGTGTAATATATTAATTCATCAAAATGCATAGAATGCCTGAATCTTAATTACCTACAAGGGCTAAGTTCCTGAAATATCAGTGATTAAAAATGATTTCACTAAAGAATCGTTAAATGTTACTCTATAAATTCCACCAGCTGCTGAAGAATTAGTGTAAACAACTTCTTCGCTGTCATCAGGGTAAACTAGTGTTACTTTAAACTTATAAGTAATTGCTGTAAGGTCATAAAACCAGATTACAATAGTATTAATTTCGTATTCTTACAATAAGTCAAGCCTTATTTTTCCTAGCACCGGTGCTAAAACGTAACCTTTGCTACCGGCAGCAATATCATAGATGGCATCTCTTAATGGACTGTTATTAAATTGATCTCCATAAAATGTTAACTGTCTAGCATTTGAAATCAAAGCTCCACTTCTTTCATTTACAACATCCTAGTAATCTCCTCGAATTTGTGATCTTTCAATCAAAATCATCAAATCTTAATCAGAGTAGGTTGTGGCGGAGTTGGTGATAACAAATAATAGATAAATAATCAATATAATCTTTTGCATAATTAATTATTAATATCTAAAATTCATACATAAAGCCTTTGAATATAAATTTCATTGATCCAAATCAAATTCAAGTAATATAAATAAATTTGATAATTACTCCTACATACATTACTAATTAATATCTGGAATCAAACTCTCATAAGTAGGTCCATATTGTTGAAATATTTCATCTACACTAAATTGTTCTCTTAATCCTCTAAAAATTTGGTATACCTTTAAGAATGAATCAGTTCCGAAAGCCTATTCCAAATTCATTCTTATTTTTTCTGCCCTTTCAAAACTTAATTTGATAATTGGTTTCTATGCAATTTATGTGTCTTAGGGAACACATTTGAGGCTTTCTTATTTTTTGGAGATCTACTTTTCTACCTTTTAATTTGACAAATCTTAATTTAATGAGTTTTCAGAAGTTTGTCTTTCTAATTGTGTTTCATTATTATTATTGTTAGTCACTATATCTAGAGATTAACTCTGTTAAGGTAGTTATTATTATTATTATTATTATTATTGTTATTATTATTATTATTATTATTATTATTATTGATCTAAAAACTCAGATCTAGATATAAAAGGTAAATAAATTTCGACTGGAATATCTCTTCTTTTTGGTAATTTTTTATCTATTTAATTAATTTACTATTAAGGCTAATCTTATTTTACTTTTGGTTAACCAAATAATTCTATAACTACTTCTTAAGGTTTTTATTGACATTTCTATATTAAAATAACATTTACTTTCTTTTAAATATCTTCTCTCATGAATTTTTATTATTCCTCTCGGGATAATTTTTTATTTTATGTGTATTCATCATTTTTTATAACAACTTAATGTTATTGTTTCTCTAATTTTAAAATTATCTTTACTTTGCATTGGTTAAACAGGTATTTTTATGATTTGTTGTTACTTAATGTTTAATTATTTAATTCTATTTTGGATTACAGCATTTTCTAAATTATGGTTAAATTATATACATAAGGTTTATTCTATAGTTGGTCTCTTATTTGCATCTAATTACAAAAGCTGTTATATTAAATTTTTCATATTTTATGAATATAACTATGCGCTAATTGGTTATATTTTTGCTTTCATGATCTTATTGGCTAGAGCAGGTAATGAATCAGCAGTAAATGGATATTTAAATGTACACATTTCATAGAGAAGTACTCCCAAAGACCATATGTCACTTTTATATGAATAAGGTTAATTTTGTATTATTTCTGGAGAAATATAATAGGGGGTGCCTATAAATGTAGTTGCCAAATCTTATTCAACTGATCTAGCAATTCCAAAATCTCCCAATTTAATTTTGTCATCATGTAAAAAAACATTTTCAGATTTGATATCTCTATGAATTATCTTTTAAGAATGTACACATTGCAAAGCTAAACATAATTATGTAAACCAATCAACTATTTATGCTTCAGGCAGAGGCTGTGTTCTTGATTTTAGATATTAGCCTAGAGTACCATCTAATTGATTACTATTAAAGTATATTACTATTTGCATATTCCATAATTAAACATAATCTATCTTTATTATCTATGAAGGTTTCGACATATTAGATGATGTTATCATGTCTTAAATTTTATAATATTGATGCTTCTGTATTTGCCGAAACTGATTAAGGTACTACTTTCATAACATATTTAATTTCATCTTAATCATCAGAGGAAACAAGATAGGCTTTTCCATATGCTCCAACTCCCAACAATTTAACTTTTTTATATTATTTAATTTAAGTCTCGTTCACTTAACAATCATTTGTGATGCACGATTCATCATCATTTATTATTCTGCTATCGTCCTCCATTTTATAATATTAAATTTATAATGGAAATTAATCATTGCTAATTAACTATATAAAAATATCATTAATTTCAAATCATTGCTGCTTCTCATAATTTTTGAAGGTTAAAAATGCTGATAAACTAAATAGCAATTCAAAGATGATAAATATCAAACCAATCACATTTATTATTATTTCCAAAATAACCACATAGGTTTACAACACTATGAAAAATATGTAAAAGCATATGCAAGGAAAAATTAGTAAAACAAACCTATAATAGTAATGTCCAATTACCATAAAATTTAGGATGGAGATTCTGTTTTATTGCCTATTGATCCTAATATCAATCGAGGAAATTGACAAAATGCTAATAGAAACTGTAAAAATATTTCTATTCCTATTTTATTTGGAGGAGAAAATAATCCATAACCTTTGTAAATAAAGACAATTATTTCGATTATGAAATAGATGTACTAAATATGATCCTATATTAATATTATTTCTTTTAGCTTCCTTTATAACGCAAAACATATCAGATTAATTCAAATTTAATTATTTATATTTATTCTTCTGAATATAAATTTTTCATAATAAAAATTAATATGAAACAATTTTAAATCAATTTTGAATTAAATTTAAATAATATTTAGATTTTCCACTCGATTATCAATAGTTTCTCTCAAGGCCCCGTTATTGATAATTATACACCTAGCCTGATCAAAATGTCTCTCTTTATTCCTTAAAGTTAATGTTTGTCCAAGCCTAGTGAATGACGTTTTAATTATTGAATATTTTGTTTCTATCATATTGACTTTTTATATTATTCCGTTCTAAAAGTCTAAATTTCATAACTAATATCATCTTGAAAGTTCAAGTCCAAATTAAATTTGTTCTATACAACTTTACTATAGATAGATTTAGTAAAAGAAAATAAAGAGAGATAAAATTTATTTAATCTTAATTTAAAAAAAATATTTTAAAGGATATAAATTTGGAGAATAAGGATTTAAAATGAGATGTATTTGGTAATGAAAGAATTGTGAGGAAGAGAGAGTTAATTTTTGAAATAATAATAATATAATTTGGAATTCACAGGATATAAATTTAATATGGAGAATATATAATTAAATCGAAAGATAGAAAGAATATTTATATTTAAAAATTGGATTATTCACTGTTTCAATTTCTGTTCACAAAATTCTAAATTGACAAAATATAAGTACCCTTTTGATTTTTGGTCCATTAATTATTTGATTAAATTTTTAAACTTCTTTCATAATATATCAGAGCCTCTTAGTATTTCTACTAATCTTATAAGCAGATTCCTGAATATAAAATCAACACATACCAAGACTATCAAGACTAACTGTGTGGTTAGGATTGAGCTAAATAGCTTAATGGAGAATTTTTTCAGATTTATCAAATTACTTCAATAATCTTAAACAATCACCTATTTATGTAAGGATGATGAAATCTACCTTTATTACTTAAGGAATCAACATGTTTTGGATCAATAGCTAATGTTTGTCCGACCAAGTGATTGCATCCTTGTATTTATTTAACATCCATAAACAACCCCCTATTAATATAAGGATGATCAAATCTACCTTTGTTATATAAGGAATCAACATCTTTTGGATCTATAGCTAATGCTTTGTCAAACCAAGTGATTGCATCCTCGTATTTATCCAACATCCTTAAACAACCACCTATTAATATAAGGAAGATCAAATCTACCTTTATTACATAAGGAAACAACATGTTTTGGATCAATAGCTAATGCTTTGTCGAACCAAGTGATTGCATCCTCATATTTATCCAACATCCTTAAACAATCACCTATTAATATAAGGATGATGAAATCTACCTCTATTACTTAAGGAAACAACATGTTTTGGATCAATAGCTAATGCTTTGTCCAACCAAGTGATTGCATCCTC